TATTAAAAATAAATAACAATATTTGTTGTCTTTCCAAAATATACTAAATACGATATAAAAAACAAGTAATAGTTATTATTTAAATTAGTAAAAAATATTGTCTCAGCCCTCAAGAGGCTTAGGAATATTTAAGAGGTGCTATAACATCATGTGACAAATGTGACAGTGGAGATAGGTTAAAAGAAAGAGGGATATCACAGGGCAAGATAGCTACACCCACCCTGAGATATCAGGGAAGGCCTGAGTCTTGAAGAATAATTAGGAGTTTGCCTAGCAAACAAGATGGACGCTGGTGTTCTTTTAGGAGGTATTTTTAAAGACACAGGTGAAACCACGTGGTATGTTTGGGGACTTACAAATAGTTTGGACTGTGCACAGTGTTGGATTCCAGGGCAAGAGATGGCAAGAGGTGAATGAAATAAGAGAGAGAGAAAAAAAAGAGCAGAGCCAGGAAAGCAAGACTGAGGAATTTGGACTTAATTCTTTAGGCAGTAGATAACCATTGACAGCTTTTCATCAGGGAAGATATCTGAATAGAGTTGAATTTTTAAAAGATAACTACTGTATAGGAACCAGGCTAGTTTAGAATCATGGGGATTAATGAAGGATGTTATGATAATCCAGTGGGAAAGAAATGAGCTTCTGAATTATGGCAGTGAGTAGGGTAGAGAGGAATAAATGTATTTGAGAGCTTTTAGAAGTAGTCCTGGCTGTGGAAGGCGAGAGACAAATATCATCTAGGATGAGTCTGAGTTTCTGTCTTGGTTTACATACACAGATGATGATACTGTCCATTGATAGAGGAAATTTAAGAACAAATTTGAAGGAAGAGGCTGTATGTTTATTTATGGGAGCATGTTGAAACTGTGGCTCTGAAGCTCTGGTAAGAAATGTAATCTATAAAGTGGTAGTTGAAACCAGGAGATTGGATGGTATTACCCAGGAAGGCAAGTGGGAAGCCTGTCAGTGAATGCAGAGTTAAGAGATCTTTTAGTTAAGATAGGAGATGCTTTGATGTTTATATTATGAGGGGTAGGGAGGACATGAGAGGGGGAAGGTATGTGAGTAACAAGGTGTTGGAGGCTTTGGGGTCCAGAGTGCTGATGGAAAGCGAGCCTTGGCTAGGAAGAGGAGGCTTACTAGCTGTGACTGGGTGGAAGGAGGTAAGATAACTGATACATTCAGGGGGAAAGGAAATGGGAGGCTTTTCACATCTGATGGCCTGGCGTCAGGAATGAGGATGTGATCTGCTGAAAGTGAAGGAGTGGAGGGTAGAAGAAACACTTGAGGAAGGTGGGGAATAATCGCTGAGGAAAACCAGAAGTAGGTGGTGATCCAAGGCAAGTTAAAAGGTTTGCAGTGTCATTGAGTGCCCAGCAGAAGAGCCATTTATTTTTAGTGGTATCAGTCTGCACATTGATTATACAGTGAAATGCTGTGCAGTCATTTGTTTTCTTGTCCTTATTTTATAGATGAGGGAAATAAGTGTATCCTAGCTTTGATGAGTTCTAGAACTTTCTAAAAGAAGTATAAGCTATACTTGACCATCCTGTAATAATAGCTAAATAAAATGCTGTTATTTTCCTATGAAATCATTGTTTTCTTTATGGGAAGTAATGAAATTATTTTTCTTTCTAAGCTTTTAAGATATGTGCTTCTTAAAAAAAGTATTTGAAATATATTAATTAGTTCCCTGGCTATTCATGATTCCTACTCCTAAAATCTATAATTAAGGATTCAATCAAGTATCAGATATTAAGTTTGTTAAAATATATTGCAGATTGAATAAAGAACATTTTTTTTCATTAAACACATTTGGTTTTGTGGAGTTTTTTTCTTTCTGGTACAACTTAGGTTGTTCATTTCTTCCCCTAGCTCATTGTAACCTTAGCTAAGTCACTTAGCTGGTCAGAGTCTCGGTTTCCTGAAATCAGACAGTTGGGTTGGAAAATCTCACAGGTTTTTTTAGGTTCTAACCTTCTAAATTGTGGCTGGATTTTGTACGGTACAGTACTGAATGTGGTACCCATTGGCCACCAGAGGGCACTTTATAGCCTGCCTTCTATTGCAGTGACATCAAAAGTAACAGATAGATAGCACTGTATATCTTTTTTAAATATTTATACTGTATTTCATCATTTTACTTTGTATTTTTTTCATCATTCTCTGGTGAATTTTTCTATGTTTTCTTCTGCCACGGAATATTTACATAAATTCAGTACATGGATTATCATGAAAATCATAATTGATTTTCCATTGATTAAACTTAAATTAACTTCTCTAGTCTTTGCTTATAATAGCATCGTGTCAGATGGTTATCAATTTTTATGGTGGTTCTGCCCATTGATTTAATTATTTTAACATTATTGACATTTAGTGCAGGATAGGCATTTATTTTGTTGCTGATAGTATAACTGAATAAGCATATCATTGAAACAAATGAAAGCTGAAATATCAGTTCAACACATGGAAATGACAGGCACGTTTTCTCTGTTAATGAAAAATTTCTATAGTTAACCCTATCAGAAGCCTGTTATCTTGATACCTCATATACAGCCTCCATTTGGCATATTGCAGGCTTTTAGAGTGTGATATAGGTGAATATCTGAGGTAAGAGATCCTTCCCATTCTGTTCTCAGATCATGTCATCTCTGATAGGACAAGTCAGTAGTTCTTCAGCCTTTTAGGTCATTGTGTCCTATAACAGCCTTTTAAGTAGATGTAGAGGGTTGCCGTTAAGAAGTACTGGATACCGAGGAAATACCAGCAGAACCCTGAAGCGTATCTTCTGTTGTTTGTGTGACGGAACCAAGGCTGTTTAGTGTTTGGGTGTTATAAAGATAGGAGAATAAAGCACTTTAGAACTTCCTTTTCTTTTTCCAGTCATTAAGCACTGAACAAAGCCACTCAGCTAAAACCTTCATGTTTTACCAATAGGAACAACATGCCAGAATTCCACAAATTAAAAACAAAGTTGGTAAAGAAGAAAGGAACGCGGGCATATGCTTGCCAGTGTAGCTGGAGAAGTGTTGAAGAACTGACTGACCTTCAGACCGATCACCAGCTTCGTTGGGTTTGTGGTAAACATTAAGAATGCAGAATTTTCACATTCAGACAAATGCATCCATGAGAGCAGTCTCCATTAATCATCATAATATTTAGGTAAAGGTACATAGCAGTATTGTGCCCTTTGGAAAAAGATGGGAAATTTCATTTGATGACTGTACGAATTTTCAAAGATCAAATGGACTTGGCAAGAAAATGCACTTTAACATTTTGGAACTATTCCTTTGTTGATATATGGACACTTCACTTAGTAAGTAAGGTAAGAAGTTATCCAAATTCTTCTTTGCTAGCCTATCTCCTGTTAAATGGAAGTTTAATTATGGATTTTCATACAGATATATAGCCATTTGTTAGCAACTGCAGTATTACTGACTGCTAATATGCTTAGCGTAAACATTCCTCACTTATAGCATTTAAAGGGGATAAAGCCAGCCAGTGCAGAGAGGTCGTTGAGGAGTGTGTACATCACCTCCTCAAGTCTGTTGTTGCCAAAGATCATAATTTAGACATGGCAGAAACCAAGTGATCTAACTAAAGGGTTTTGGGGGGTACACATATATTGTAAATGAAAATACTGCCTATATCTGACCTTACCTTACCAACTCAAAGTGACATTATACACAGTAATGATAAGTATATATTGCCAGTTTTAGCTTATTTCTCCTCTTGTTCATTTAGATATCAGAAGTTATTTAGTTTGCTACTTTAGCGAATATACATTTATATATTAAAAAATTTTTTTGATGTACCTAAAATCACAAGGAAAATTCCTAATATAGACAGGTCAGTTTTGGATTTTGCAAGTACTTTCTAGCCTTTAATGCCTAAAACTCCCATCAAGTAAAGTGAACAGCAAGTACGATATTTTCTTAGGTAGCTGTTGATTTTTCTGGTAGGATCAGATTGACATATTGTTTATCAGATGAATGCATGAAAAGAGAAATAAGACTGAGACTTGAGGAACCCTACAAAGCAGCACATCCAGGAAATCAGTTACCTCAAAGTTAGCAGTTCCCAGCCCCATCAAGAGATTCTGGGGGCTTTCCAATCTGCCAGAAGCTCTTCACCACATGTGTCTAATGTATAGTTTAAATGTGTGACACAAGGCATGTTGAAAGGGAGTAACTGAAACAAAGTTATGATCTACTTTAATATGTTGAATCCATTCCAGCCACCCTACTTAAGCAAAGAAGGAAAATCTGGTCATTAAAATCCTTTTCCTAGCCATGACACATTTGCATATGTGTGAAACTTAACTCTAGTAAGTCTGGCATTGCAACAGAACAAATCTCATAGTGGCAAATGCCACGTTTGTATTTTTATATTAAGAATATGTTTACAGATCTTATCTTTCAATAAAAATTTTTTACTCCCTAAGATTTTATCTCAGTGTAATTGTGTCAGAAACATAGGGGGATTTGGATTGAAGTCCCCTATTCCAAAAAATAGCGGAGCAATAAGACCCACACATTCAGAACCCCATGGAATTTGGCACATTAGTGATAACGGTGATGTTTTCTTTTTATTCAAATGAGCAAATTTACTAAATCATTAATTTGAAAATATTTTTTTCTCTTTTATTATTTCATCATAACCATCCTATAACTTGGATACATTTCTCATGTTTAGCATTCCATAACATAGTAATTATAATAATAATTCCCAAATGTCAGAAATGTATCTATGGGGCCGGCCCCATGGCTTAGCGGTTAAGTGCGTGCGCTCTGCTGCTGGCGGCCCGGGTTTGGATCACGGGCGCGCACCGACGCACCGCTTATCCGGCCATGCTGAGGCCGTGTCCCACATACAGCAACTAGAAGGATGTGGAACTATGACATACAACTATCTACTGGGGCTTTGGGGGAGAAATAAATAAATAAATAAAATTATTAAAAAAAGAAATGTATATATGAGTTCATGTTTTTGTTGGCAATTTATAAGCTTTTTAATATTGTACAATTTTAAATCTAAAATGTAGAATTACATTTATATACAAATAGATAAATTATTACCAGTTTTAATTTAAGCCAAAACTATTTTAGTATCAATATAGAAGAAAGGCATAGTTTCTAGTGAACTATAATTTTTAAAATACAAAGTCTATAAAACTTTCAAGATGTTTTACATATTTGTTTTCAATTATTTATAATAATTTTCTACTTTTAGCAAGTATCTATTTTTTGTCAAGCCAGGTAGCTACTTTATTTGAACTGTATGATACTCTCAGACCCTTATCTTGCCTGGAAATGAATAAATAATAAATAGCTTTACTCTGTATTTAGTTCCATTTTCTATAGTAAAATATTCATATGGGGATTAATTTGAAATAATTTTGATAATTTCTTTTAAAATGTCAACAAAAAGTTTCTAAACATCCAATTGAACAGAAAATTTATTTAGGTTGAGGAGGAGAAGCATGCCATAAGTTTGAGTGTGTGTGTGTGTGTGTGTGTATACGTGTGTGCGCACGCACATATGGAAAAGAATGTGGGTATGTAAAGGAGCAGGTCCCAGTGCAGGAAGAGTGAGCCATGCTGATATGGTGGTATACATCCAGACCCTGCATGTTAATGTCAGTAAGCTCAGCACCCTTCTTTTCTTGAGCCAAAGAAGATGGCATCAGATTATGATTTTGAATTAATTTCCTTCTTTTTCTTACTGATCTGATATTTTAAAATATGGAATAAAATGTCTTTGTATCCAATAAGTACTGTGATGAAGCTTGGAAGTAACTTTCAAATCCTGATTTTTCTCAGTTAAGTTTTAACAAAATCTGTATCAGCCAACATACTACTCCTAGTAATCAGCTTTACGTATTGTTTAAAATAGTTCTTGAAGGGAAGAAAAAATTCAAAATATACAATCTCTTTATAGATTTAACATCTTATCATATTTATTTGGGTTTGTGACACCATTTTGGGCCCTATTTTAAAAGATTGCATGGGATATATAGATTGACATGTGCTTGATAATTAAATTTGTTTTCAAACTTTCCCCAAATGCCTGGAGATAATGGGTGACAATATGAAGTGTTACAAAATCAGAGTTAAGAGTCACACCCGTTGGAGAGTTACTTAACTTTTTGGGCTTCATTTGCCTCATCTATATGAATGGTGATATCTGTTTTGTAAGCTTGTTGTAAGGATTAAATTATATAACATGAAAAGTGACTAGCATGGTGTTAAGTTCAGAATAAGTGCTTAATAAATATTCTCATTCTTTTTCCTTCTGAAAATAACACTATCTAAATTAAAGTAATAGTGCAGCATGTTTCTTAAGCAAAGCATTTGACCACGTTTATTTTTTCATTGACTAAACATTCCTTATGAGAAAAGAAGCTATGCTATCATTTTTATTTTATAACTAGTAAATGCAAACATGGTCAACTTTATTTTTATATAAATTGAAACTACAATTTTTAAAAACAAAACAAAAACCCACTCACCCTACCCTTCTCTTCCTGTCTGGGTTTAAACCTTATTGATCATCATGAAGACTCTCCGGGCCTTTCACAGTACCTTTTCAGCTTCATCTGCTTCTGCTTCCCTCCTCTTCCAACCAAACCTACATGCTACGCACTATTCCTTAGATATACCTCACATTTTACTGCCTTCTTGTTTCTGCTCTCCCTCATCTTATCCTTTCAAAATCTGATTCATTTTTCAAAGCCTCTCTCTTGTACACCAGTCGTTTTTAGAGTGTTGTCCACTCTCAGGGGAGTCGCTAGGAGTCTTTCAGGGGGTCCATGTGGTCAAATCTATTTTCACAACACTAAGACGTTAATTTCCTTTTTCGCTGCATTGACATTGGTGCAAATGTAGGTAAACCTGCTGGCACCTTACTTAGCATGAGTCCAAGCAGTGGCACCATGCACTTGTAGTAGAAAAAAGCAGTTTCACTTAGCATATCCTTGATAAAGGCAGTAAAAATTATTAATTTTATTAATCTCAGCCTTCAAGAACATATCTTTTTACTATCCTTGTGTGACTAAATGGGGAGTATACAAAAAGCACTGTGCAACTGATTTTTGAGCTGAACAAATCACTTTTTTCATAGAATCCGTTTTTGGGTTTTTTTGTTTTGTTTTTATTTATAATTTTTTATTTATTTATTTTTTCCCCCAAAGCCCCAGTAGATAGTTGTATGTCATAGTTGCACATTCTTCTAGTTGCTGTATGTGGAACGTGGCCTCAGCATGACCTGAGAAGTGGTGCGTCGGTGGGTACCCGGGATCCGAACCCGGGCCACCAGCAGTGGAGCGCGTGCACTTAACCGCTAAGCCACGGGGCCGGCCCCCATTTTTGTTTGAAAGAACAACTGACAGACAAACTGTGGGTACCCAGACTTGAATATATGGCACACATTTTCTCCAAAATCAAGTGAGTAACCTCCAGGAAAATAACTGACATTATTTGTTGCCGATGATAAAATTCAAATCTTCAAGCAAAAATTAGAATTTTGTTTGGAAAACTTGTATTCATCACTGTGAGCATCACATCTTCTCCAATACTTAAAGACTTTCCTGATGAGACTAGTGGTGAAATGAACAAGTGATTTTGGGGGGTGCTATATAATGAAATGTGACAATATTTGGAAGATCTATATAATTCAGCAAACCATTATTGGCAAACAACCAATATGCATTGGTTACAATACTGTGCATTTAAAGTGCAAGATAGACCAATGGATTTTAATGTAACAGAGTACTAAAAGTTCATTGATATGATTTCATTTCCACATTGCAACTAACTTTTAAGAAACTAGCACTTGTCAAGTTTTGCTGTAGTATTGAAGAGCCACGATTATCTGAAAAGACTATTAAAATACTCTTCTCTTTTCCATGTCTGCATGTCCAGACTATATGTCTTTTCCATGTCTACATGTCCAGACTACATGCCTGCATGAGGCTAAATTTTCTTCTAAGGCTTCAACTAAAACATCTCAAAAGAGTGAGTGCAGCAGTAGCTATGAGAATCCAGCTATCTTCTATTAAGTCAGAGATTAAAGAGAGTAGCAGAAATGTAAAACAAATGCAACTCTTACTATATTTCTTTTGGAAAAAATAGTTATTTTCAATAAAATTTGACAACATGTAATGGGTTTATTATTATTTTTAACTTAAATAGTTTTTATTTCTAATATGATAAATATCAATATATATAACCACAAAAACCAAGCTCTTTGGGGTTCATAATCATTTTTAAGAGTGTAAAAGGGTCTTGAGACCAAAAAGATTGAGAACTGTTACACACAATCCTGATTACCCTCCCTGCCCACACCCCACCCCAGCCTAAAGATGTGATTTCTCCCCCTTTCATCTGCTTTCAAATTTTCTATTTCTCCTGTAATACCTTGTATTATAATTATGTGTGCTTACTGTATTCATCTTGGAGATTAGATGTCAAACTTTTTAAAAGTCGTGAATGGTCTCTCAGTGGTATAGGGGAAACCATCTGGGACACTTGTGCGGCTAACTTCCTGGAGCACTGTGGGTAAGCTACTGTGTTTTGGGGCTCATCTATAAAATGAGAGTTGGATTTAATAAGTTATAAGTTTCCTTCTAGATTGAAAATGGTATGAATACTGTTCCTCTCAAAATCCTTTGTGCTAGCCGTACACTGGGAGATGAGGTATGTGTAGTGGGGCTCAGATTCTGGGGTCAGAGACATGGGTTTCAAAGACGTGATCTGCGTCCTCTCGGAGCTTTCAGTCAGTGGAGGAAAGAAGTGAACCTCTTACTGCTGAGACCGTCAGTGCTCTCAGAGAGAAGTAATCAGGTCCTTACAGAAGACAGGCATTTAAATCAGGATGGGAAGGAGGGAGGTGCTTCCTTG